GCTTTGATCTCGATCACGCTTTCGATCGTGTCCGGCACTCATTTCTCTTCGAGAAAATGCCCTCGCTCGGCTTCAACCAGGATCTCATCGCTCTACTCTCGCCCATCGCCAACCGGTCCACCTCTGGCTGTTGATCAATGGGCACATTTCTCGTCCGTTCGAAATTCAACACTCTGTACGGCAAGGGGATCCGCTATCCATGTACCTCTTCGTTCTCTACCTACATCCACTAGTGTGCAGACTCAAAAGAGTGTGCGGGAATGATCTGCTGGTGGCGTATGCGGACGACATCAGTGTGATCGCCATATCGACCAGGTAAATCGATGAGATAAATAGGCTGTTCACTCTTTTCGAGAGAGCTGCTGGCGCAAAATTAAGTTTGCTGAAAACTGTTGCCGTAGATGTTGGGCTTTGCGAAGGCAACACAATCAACACTCAGTGGCTACTAACAGTCAATTTAGTTAAAATTCTGGGTGTTGTTTTCGCAAATTCGATACGACTGATGACAACGATGAACTGGAATGCGCTGGTGGGGAACAAATGTGGCTGCCTTCTCTGCGCACGCTGACGCTGCACCAAAGGGTTATCATGCTCAACACGTTCTTAACGTCCAGGATATGGTACCTCGCGTCCATACTACCGCCGTTGGGAGTGCATACGGTAAAAATATCAGCAATGGGTACGTTCCACTGGAGAGGGACTGTCGCCCGTGTCCCAATGATGCAGCTGGCATGCAGCAGGGAGAATGGAGGCCTGTAGCTGCAATTACCAGCGCTGAAATGTTAGTCACTCGCAATCAACAGACACCTATAAGACATCGAATCCCTTCCTTTTTATAGATTCCTTCTTTTCCACGATAATCCCCGCCCAGCCATCTCAATAGATCTTCCCGACCTTAGACAAATCCTATCAAACTTATCCCAAATTCAACAGAACCCCTTCCGCCGATCAAATTCACCAGCACTTCGTCCAGCAAACCGAGCTACCAAGGGTGGAACGTAACAGTCCAGCAGAAATTTTCTCCCATAAATTTTGCGCTTGTGCTCGCGTTGGCCCGGCTTGGACGGTTCTTCAGCAGATAATAGCAAGCATCTTAGATGGATGGAGGCGACTGGAGTTGGAAGACTTGCTAAGACCTGCCCTATTAGGAATAAACGAAAGGCAGATAGTGGCAATTCCGAATATGTTTATTACATATATCTTCTTCGTTAACGATTCTAACTGTAGAATTGATAAAGCTGAATTGAACTTTCATCTTGATGTAGAACCTGACAAATAAAACTTCACTTTTTTCAGAATTTCAAAACCATAATTTGACATTTTCATATTAGTTTCAGATCATGCCGAAAAGATAATGCTGTAGCTGAGTGTTGTGGTTTTTGGCAAAGTTGGTCAGTATCTGAAATGCTGTTATTTGAGACTCCAAGATGAACTAACCTAATGGCTAAAAATCTCGTAAATAAAGAAAACCAAATGTGATGCTATCAGATTAACTCCAGGTCGTAACACAGAGCCGCTATTCTAGTCTATTTTTGTTAAATTGAGCTCTAGAGAGTTGCCGTCTTCGGAAAAGTTGTTTAGTATGTAGAAGACCATAATTTGACATTATCAGATCAGTTATTGATAGTGCCACGGTGTAGTAGTCTTTCTAAATGAAGTTCTAGAAGATAGCCTTGTTTTTAGCAACATTGTGGGGACGGGCAAGTTCTGTGGATCTCACTTGAGAGAACTGAAAAAAATTGACGTTAGGATTCTGCAAAACCGAAACCCCAACTTTCGGGAAATCATCATGTCTTATATCCGCATCGATCCCTTTATTTCATCGTTGGGGCTGCGAATGTACACTCGATACTCCATCTCAAAAGCTCATATATAACAATTTTGCCTGCCTGCACATTAGACTGATGTAAAATTTGGAATTTTCGTTCCACTGTGCTCAAACGGTTCCAAATTGGATCATGATTAGCCTTCCAAAATTTGAGCTCATTAAGTAAGAAACTGTCTTGGCACAAACCATTTGAAGATTATATAGAAATCAATATGGGAAAACCAATTTTTTTTTTTAATTTCTATCTAACCATTGAACATATCGTTCTGCTTTTAAAATTTAGGAAATTTATCAGCTACAACTTTGTTCAAGATCACTTTTAGATAAAATGTATGAAACAAAAGTTATTAATGATTCAAGTCATCGATGTCTTATGATTATGCTCAATCAACTGTTCAGCAGGCAACACTGGTGTTTCTGGTGCGTAGAATAGAGAACAAAAATCATAGCTACTAAATATGTCACACTGCAGGATACAGTGTTGCCCACAAACAGCTGCATATGATTATCAGAATCTTAATACATTAATAACCATTTAAATTGACGATTGACTGAAAATCGATATCGTACATAGTTGCAGATGAGAAAATTTCCTATGAGAATAAATGTAAACTTTTTAACAGAGCAATATGGAAAAAAGCAAGAAGTCAATGCACAAAAAGTTTGGTTTTCACATAGTAATTTTCATTTAAACTTCAAATGGTTTGTGCCAAGTCAATTTCTCACCAAATTAGTTCAAATTTTGGGAGGCTAGTCAGGACCCGATTTGGAACCATTTGGCACTGTGGAGCAAAATTTCAAAATTTGCATCAGTCTACTGCAGATGGTAGCCAATGGTAACGAACAGGTTGTTTGTCCTTGACTAAGCTGCTTTTATAATCTCGATCGCTGCTGAAAAATATTTAGCCAGATGCATTCAAATCTAATTAACATCCTAAGCTTTTTTCAGTGTTGGTTGGAAATGCTATACTAATATCAGCATGAAGCTTTAGAGTGATAATTTTTAACAAGAGAAAGATCTGAAGCGAAGAGGTTGATGTTCCGCTAGAGTACAGCAGTGTAAAAAATGAATAGAAGTTGAAATTGAGCGAAGGGTCGTTAATGCGATAGTACTAGTCAAACGCACACTTCTCTACCTAATTCATACATGAATCGATGAGGGGACTTGAAGTGTTTCTTCAAATCCACAGGCAAAATAGTGCGAATTTGACTTGCTCAAATGCTGTCTGTGGCTGTGAAATAGTTCTAGTGACGTTTATCACTACATAAGCTTTTTTTTTTCACTGGAGGAAAACTATTCCTGGGCTTTTTGAGCCTTCAGGGTAAGGCTTGAAGTGGGGGCAACTTTTGTTTAAGGGTTGCGGGTGGAACAAGGGTTAAAGGTTGACGTAGGGGTAAAGGAGGAGCTGGTGGAGTTCGTTCTGCCTTAGGATACGCTCCAGTGTGCTTTTTGGTGGATGAACCACCAGAACTATCAATAGCCTCAGAAGAAAGTAGAACTTTTAGAGAATCATCTTTAGAGATATTTCTTTAAGGAACGATATCCATGTTAAGGCTTTAGCTGTTCATAAATTCAGGTTCAGGGTAAATATAATACAATCAACGTATTTAAAAAAAATAAATCCAGCAATTTTATCGAACTCATCATTCAAAATTTCACATCACAATTTCTGAACAAGCTGTTTCTTTTCAGGGTACGATATTTTTCTTGATTAGTGTAGTATTCCTACATGCGTATTCTGCGTCATTTCTCTGATTTCAAGGACACATTATTTAGTCAATTATGATGTCAAAGAATATTAGCTTAATGCAAGATATTTGCCATCACATTTGTGTTATGCTCCACGAAACCGTTATGATTCCGCTACTCCGCCAGCTCTACATTTATGACCTGCCAATCTCCGGAACAGACAACACTCAGAAAAAAAACCGTTGACCCATGTCAGTTTTAAGTGTGTTTCGTCAGACATTGATCCCGATAGCAGACCAGGAACCTTCACTCGAAGACTCCCACTTGCAAGAAAGCTAAACGCCTACCAAATGGCATCCCACCCGAATCCCACCCGAATCCCACGCAGCCACCCTCCTTGGTTTTTGCCAAACAAAAATGCCATCAAATTTATTCAACAAAAAAAAAAGGATGCCACGTGTGTAGGAAGCCACCGCAACTTCAGCAGCATATGATGCGATCTATAGAGACACCAGGATGGCAGTGACACCCAAAGTGACGTAAGAAAGTTATTTTGCCAATTCGATACGCATCATGGGCCCCGATGATGGGTGCGGGCTGCACTCATCCCACACCAACTTTTGCCCTGGGGAAAAGTTGACTCTCGGCGGAAAGCGGTATCCCACCAAGTAGTTGTTAGGTATAAGAAAAGCAGGTCCTACATTAAATGTGGAAATCTGGTCCGAAAAACCAAACACACCAGATGGTGACTGTAGGACACATCCAGCGTGACGAATTGATTGTTTTCTCTTCCATCCTTCCTTGGACCGGAGTCCGGGTCGGTCGGTCCATTCCGAAACCCAACCCAAGTCTAAGAAAATGTTGACTGCCGTTTCTGTTTCGCTTCAGTCGGTTCCACCTCGTTGCATTCGGGTGAATTCTTCATTCTGTCTGTTGTTTTTCTCGGGTTTCAATGTATTTTTTCTCTTTTTCTGCTCGGAAAACTCTTTGTTCTAGTAGGTATATATCCTTTTTCCGAGTAAACCCGAAAACACCCTCACTTTGCCTGCCTCGTTTGATTGTATATGGGAACGTAGTGGGAAGTGATGCGGAAGGTCTCAGGAAGGAAGAATTTGTGCGAAAAAGGGTTGATCGGTTGAGAGTTTCGGTTGTCGGGGAGTCAAGGTTTTTAGAAAATTTATTCTTCTGATGGAAAATCGATAAGCTCCGGGGCTTGCAGGCAATTCCGGATAATGTGTGAATATACATATTTTTTTTTTGTTTTTGTTTCAAGGAATTTACCAACTTAACTACTGATTGTCATTCGTTCTGATAAAAACATGAAATCATGCTAAAAATCCTTGGAATTGTGTTACCGTAAAAAAGTTATTCTTGTTCACTGAGTGAGAAATTTCAAATGACCTAACTGGAATGAAAGCCGAAAGCATCACCTAAAACCTAGTCCAGAATGAGAAAGAGAGCCAATCATCGCCCAATACTTACATGCCAGCGACGGTCGAAACTGAATAGCTTTCCGAAAGCTCTCCACAGCCTCTTCATAGTCTTGTTGATTTTGTAGTAAAATTCCTCTGAAAGTGAACAAAAGAAAATGGAACAAGTTAGTCGATACGGTTTTTCAAATGAATGCTCAACCTGGAAGGGAAAAAATCTCCGCTTTCAGTTCAATGGGTTCAGTGCAAAACACTTCCCAGCACTACCCCTGGCTGCCCCGAAAAAGTTATTGAATCTCAACATTGTTATTGAAAACGTCCTGTGTTGATTTTTTTTTGCGTGGTTCGTCCTGCAATGTCCATTTCGTGGTGCTGCGAAACAGAATTGCGCAAAAAAAAATCATTCGATCCAAACGAACTTGTTAGCACCAACCAAGCACGACCGAGAACCACCGCCCGGGCTAGAAATGTGTAGGACCCCATCGTCGTTTGCACTTTCCATTTCCTGCGGGGATCCTACAAACGCCCGGCCCACAGTCATCGTGCGGCTCAAGTTTCCTCTCGCCGTATTTGAGCTGGATTGTGCGAACGAACATCAATACCGGTCCGGAGAGGACATTGTTTGATTAAAAATTGAAACACGAATCTCCACGTCGAATTTCATGGTGTAGAGCGAGTCTATTGAATTGGTTGTTGAAACGGATGTGGAAAAAGCAAACAAAACAGTGCAGTAGCCATCTACAGTGTTTCAACCGGAGGTACTGTGGTTGAGTGAAAAGCACAACAGATAAAAAAAAAAATCATGTAACTAACTAAACGTAAATCTAGAACGGTACATGATCAATCACGATTGCTGTCACAATAAGAGGTGGTAATTTTTGAAAACATTGATAATTTCAGTGATGTCATGATCAATTAGTAGCTGGTTACCAGCTCACAGGTCCTTAAGGTCTTGTAAAAAATAAAAAATAAACCTAATGTTTATTTACAATAACTGCCCACTAGGGTTTGTCACCAGTTCTAACCACCATGACTGGATGATTTACTCTGGATCGAATGGCCTCGAAATGATTATAGTAGTTTCAGATAGCTAAATGTTGTTCAGTAGGCAGTTCCATGCCTACTGAAAATCGATCAAAATTTACCCTCTACGAAATCGATGAACCTTTGCATAATTATTTGCTACGGGCAATACACTAATTTTGCAAGGCAATTCGGCCATTTTGGCTTGTCCTTATGTTTCAACAAGGCGTACTCGATGATTTTTAATAAATTTTAGGACGATAACGATTCATCGAATTGAAATGACGTCTGAATCAAAATTGTAGGAAACTACAATGCTTTTTCAGAAAACAAAAACACACTGCAAATAAAATCACTAATTTTGGTCATAGGAGACATGGCTCTAATGTTGGCCTATGGATCTAAGATTGGGCCCATCGCTAAAAAGCTGCTATTTATTAATCTTATCCCAATGAACGCGTCATTGGGACGGTACTTATGGATATTTTTGGTCACTATTGAAAATCGATTGCTGAATTTATGTATGGGCCCAAATAAGGAGCATTTAGGCCGACACAAGGGGTTGATCACTCTACACAGTGTGCCAAAATCAAACTTGGGCACACCTGGGCGCAGTCATTGGCGTTGTTTTGCACCCAAAGTTACAATTTGTATTATCTTTAAAGTTATTGGCAACACTGAACTTTTTCTGCGTCTGCCGAGTTTTTTTTTTTTTTTTTTTTTTTTTTTTTTTCTTTATTAAAGAGATTTTTAGCCTTAGGCTAGTTCATCTCTAGTCCGTTGAGTTCTGTCAGACAAATAGTTTTCAAACCATTTATATGCAGTACTCGTAATTTCTAAAGCGCTTGATTGATCTTAACAATAAGGGCATAGAAATTGTTTCAAAAGCGCGCTTTAGATCAAAAAAGACAGCAACAACCGCATCTTAACACTTCAAGTTATTGTTCCACTTCGCTAATACCAAATTCAACGCGGTTTCACAAGAATGACCTTCTCGATATCCCAATTATTCTGGTATCAACAAACTATTACTATTTAAGTAGTCCAACAGCTGGCTTTTAACAACAAGTTCTAACATTTTCTCTAATGTGTGCAACATGTTGATGGGACGAAACTCTTCAGCTTTAATCGATCAAGCAACTTTTTGAAAGGGACCACTAGGGATTCCTTTCAAATTTGTGGCACATGTCCAGTTTGCAATGATTCATTAATAAGGTCCAGCAAGATTTGGCCAATCTTGAATAACTCTAGCATTAACATTGTCTACTCCTGCCGATTTTCCTAATGAAAAACAAATAACTCTAAGTTCATCTAATGTAATTGGGTGAAAATCTTCAGATCTACAACTACTATTAACTGGCTGTTTTAATCTGTCAGGTTCATCGAACAATCCAATGGATTAATTAAACAAAGAAACACTGTCTACAAAATAAGCATCAAGCTTCCCAAGTAACATTGGAAGTTTTATCGAGGTTTTAAAGCATGCTACAAGTCTAAATCACGGTCTCCAGAACCCTCCAAAACTGTTACTTGAGTTAGATGCAATTACTTGTTCTGACTGTTCTAATGTATCTTTAAAAGTTATGGACCGCGGTTTGCAATAACTAGATTTTAATAAAGATTTCAAAATTTGCGATAACTCTTTGCTGTTGTTTTGATGCTGATCAATCTTTCTTTGTACATATTCACACAGAGTTTTCTTTATCGATTGTTAATACTTATTACGCGCGAATGTGTACCTACTCCAATGATTATCATTATTTGATCTACAAAACTGTTTGTACCATTTGTCCCTTTTCCGTTTAAGACGCAAAGATCCAAATTGTACCAGCTGTTCGAGTTTTTCAAAGAAACAAACTTTTGCTCAACTAGTTGATTGGTACACGTTTTCAAAGCGTTATTAAGAACAAGGTTGCAAAGACTCATTTCAGCTAAAATAATGTTTTTCGGAATAATAAAACCAAAAGATGGTATGATGGCATGTTTTACTTGTAACTTACAAGAAGAGGTTACAAAGTATGCGTTGGAAACATAAATCCTGTAAATTTTGCTTTATATGAGTCACAATCAGCGATTTGCTGATCGCTGAGTGAGTGAGTTTGTGAAAAATCGCTGATTAAGACTCTCATGAAGTGAAATAAACAGGTTTAATATGTCAAACACATTCTTTGCAACCTCTTCTTGTATCCTACCAATTCAAAATTTGATCATGGCATCTAATTATTTCATAATTTAGAAAAACATTGTTTTAGCTGAAATGAGTCTTTGCAACCTTGATTAAGAACAGCTGTAGATTGATCTAAGCTACCGGCCGCGAATGGAAAATCCACGCTCCTCTTTGATGAGATTTGAAACAGCTTGCTTCGAATATTTCCTCCAGCACATCAATTTTACAAAATTATCGTTATCGTTAACATGGTCTAAGACATTAATCACTACGGTCTCATGATCGGTTTTTTTTTTTTCAAATCAGTATCCGTAACTGAACAAATGGAATCAAAATTGGAATAAACGTGGTCAATGATAGTTCTACCATAGAGGTAGCTCTAAGACTAGTCCCGAAGAAACTGCGCGTCGCTCCCCTGCTGCTGTGTAATCACTCGGTGGTAGTAGTATAGCAGATAAGTTTTTTTTCCTGTTTCTTTCTCTCGCCCATCAGTTAAATTTAATTTTGTGTTTCTGTGTTTGTAGTTTTTTCTGTTTATTGTGTCTGTGTGGTTTTAAGCATCGTTTCAGTGGTAGAGCGTTTAGCGCTCCCACTATTACGGCAAAATGGACGTCTTGTCAGAAGATGATATGGACATTTTGTCGGAAGATGACACCAGTTTGCCACTCGATGGCAAGAAAAGACGAAAACGTCCTGTCATTCATGGTTCGTCTCAGAAAAGCCCCCGATCGCGAGCCTATCCAGATGACTCGACTGGGCCATGGGTTGTCTACTTTCAGCCCAAAAACAAACCTTTGAACTTGATGCAAATTTCCACTGATCTGACGAAGCGATACTCGGCCGTGACCGAAATCACGAAGGTTAGGCATAATAAACTTCGTGTTGTCGTTTCTAACCTGAAGCAGGCTAACGAGATTGCTGCCTCCCAGCTCTTTACGATTGAGTACAGGGTTTACATACCAGCTCGTGATGTGGAGATCGAAGGTGTGGTCACCAAAGCGAGTCTGACCCCCGAGATCTTGGAGAAGCAGGCGGTTGGCCGTTTCAAGAACCCCTTGCTCCCCCCGGTGAAGATACTGGATGTCCAAAAACTGGGCTCAGTATCTGTCAGCGAGGGTAAAAAGAGTTTTACCCCCACAGACTCGTTTCGCGTGACCTTTTCTGGTTCAGCCCTTCCTCAGTATATCGAGCTGGGAAAACTTCGACTACCTGTGCGCTTGTTCGTACCCCGGGTCATGAACTGCCAAAACTGTAAGCAGTTGGGACATACGGCGTCCCACTGTGGCAGCAAGGCACGCTGTTCCAAATGCGGGGAGAAGCACGAGGATGGCGCCTGCACAGTCACGGCACCAAAATGCGTGTACTGCAAAGGATCTCCTCCTCATGGTCTCTCGTCGTGTCCGGTGTACAAACAACGCGGGGAAAAACTAGAGCGCTCTCTTAAAGAACGTTCCAGGCGGTCTTTTGCAGAAATGCTTAAGACAGCCAAGCCATCGACCAACGAAACAAATCCCTTCGCTCTTTTGTCAGATGACGAGTCTGGCTCTGACTTGGCTGAGGAGGGAGTTTCTTTCAGTTTTCCGGAAGGTTCTGCCCGGAAACGAAAACGCATCCGTTCGCGGAAAGTTGCAGATCAAGAACCCCAAATCAGCTTGCCCAAATCAAGGAGTGGTGGAAAAAAGGAGACTTCTACTCCTCCTGGATTCCGCAGAACTGATTATACCCAGGATTTTCCACCTCTTCCGGGGACATCCAAAACCCCTGATGCCCCAATTTTAAGAACAGAAACCCCTTCTTCATCTGGGCTGTTCTCATTTGATGACATTGTGGACGGTATTCTCAAATACCTCAACATTTCTGATCCTCTGAAAAGCATTGTCCTCACATTGCTTCCCACTGTGAAATCCTTCTTGAAGCAATTGACTTTAAAATGGCCCCTTCTTGCAGC